TTCTGGATAAAACATGAAGATATTCCAAGCTCTAAGGAGCTCCATGTTGACCAAAGTGTGGCTATGCTTCTTCTCACCTTGCAGAGTGAGCACTTTTTTTTACCTGCTTTTCTGCAGCAGAATGGCTGTTTTCAGTACCTTCACTTGTTTCATCACCAGACACTGTGTACTCATCCAGGGTAAAAAGTAATTTTGGTTACAGAAAGCTGACCTTGCCTTGCTTCAGGATAGGGTGAAAGATCAAGAAGCATGTGCCAGTGTATGGATTAGAGTGCATGTGTCAATAGTTGGGTTCCATTCTCTTGAGTGTAGGTCAATTTGGTTACTATGTTGCTTTCCACTATTCCTTTACTGTCCTCATTTTAATAGGAAGAGTATCCAGCCTGCTGCATCCTTAGTCACAGAACTACTTCGTTGCAGACTTAGCTATTAGAGTGATAAATGGATGTTCAGAAGTTGAACAGAAAAGCAAGTTGAAAACGGAAACAGGTTGTGTACTATGTTTTTAATCACCAAGTTTAAAACTTCCTTTGATATTTACAATATTTGACATTTGATGATGCGGCTACTAAAAGTGAGGAATCTTCATAAGTGCTATTTTCTTGTGACTATTTTATTTTAAATAATACATGCTACCAGTTTCATTACAGAACTATTCATTGTCAGTTGAATTCTGAGGCTGGTAGCTGTGACAACATGCCCGGGGAATACTGCTGACACAGATATCCCTTCAGAGAGTGGTTTTGTTCCAGCTTTGACAATGAAAACTGATATCAGAGTTGCAGTGAATGGCAAATATTCATAGTGCTAGGAGAACAGAAGGAGAAGGAAAGAGATGCATATTAACAAGTGAACTTGATAATAAAACAAGCCTGACAAAGAAACAGAGACAAAGGACTGTAAGAAGAACAACTGCTTGTTTGATTTGCAAAAAATGTAAAGCAACCCACAGTAAGGGATGCAAGAAGTAACTAGTGATAGAGGCCCCTGTTCACAAACATATATTTATTCAGGACAACACTTCTGGGTGTCAGAACATGGCCCTGAGTACTGCCATGGGCAGGATTACTGTTGTCAGTATATCACCTCATTTGTATCAGAGCTGTTAAGAACTTGTTATAAGTGACAAAGTCTGGTGAACGCATCATATTTTGAGGATCATTCATTCCTCATTTTTTTCTTCCTTTCTGCTTTGCCCTCTCCTCACTTTAGATCTAATATCCAGCAGAAGTACATCAAAAAGCATGGAAGAGAAGAAGGTGAAAGAAGAAGAGCAAAGTGCAGAAGAATCAGTTTTCCTGGAAGCCTTACTAGAATTTCAGTGAGTTTAATATATTTAACTTTTCACTCACTTAGAGTATATGAGTGAATAAAGCAAACAGCAATCCACCATCCAAAAGCAAACCAATCACCATGTGGAGTGTTGTGATTGCATATTGTTCTTTTGTGCTCTTGTTTTGAGCTTTCAAGGCTATTTTAGAAATATACACTTTTTAAACTGTGTCTCTACAAAATCTTCTCTTTTCTTCTGGCAGAAGAAAAAAATTATGTCAGTAGGTTATAACTTAGGACAATTCGTTTTATTAGAAAATAAAAACTTTTTTGTCTGCTAATAGGAGATATTTGATGGCTTGCTCTGAGATCACAAGATCACATTTGATTGTAATTTCCAGAATTCCCCAGTGTTCACAGAGGTGTACAGCCAGAACCTCTGCAGCTCCAATTGGTCTTTTATTGCAGCTGAGTGTGGAACACAAATGAAAATGATATAACCAACATCAAATAGTTTCTCAGTTAACAATTCTGGCCTTAAGGAGTAGCAGAGGTTGGGCAAACCAGAGAGCAACCATACACTGTTCTGGTGACACCTGCAAGAGTTTGCAGGGTTGATGTGGAATTTTCCATTTGAATTTACAAAGAACGGAGTACAAATTTCCATAGTGAAGCAGACCAAGGTTAGCAGAGTCGTATCACAAATAAATACTATCCAAAAAAAAAAAAATCTATTTTGCTAAGAAATAAGCAAACTGTATTAGTAGACTGAAAGGAAAAATACGTTTGTGATAAATTTGTTGTTGTGCATATTTGAACATCCAAGCAAACAACTCATTTATGAGTCTTTCACTGAAATGTGTGCTGTGCTGGCACACAATCTTTAGCTTCTAAAGCGGTAGTAGAGGAAAAGAGGAAGAAAGTTTTCTTTCTGTTTCTTTCCTCCCTCTCTTCTTTCGCTCTCTTTCTCTCTCTTATTCCTTCTTTGTCTCTGAAATTTATAATTTGTCTGTGCCACTTTATTGTGGAAAATAGTGTAATAATACAAGTGTATTTCTTTCACATTTCTCTTTGTGACTTTTCCAGCACGTTGTGTATTTAACTGTCTTTCCAGCTTCTTTTGCACACTGAAGGATGACTGCTGTTCATATGAGTTTGTTATTTAGGAGGCCACAGCACGGAGTCAAGCTGTCACCTTTGTCTAATAAGTAATACATTATGAGAACATCAAGTCTCATATCTTTGTGCCTACTAGAAAACTTGAAGAGTACTGTGGAGCACTCTGACAGAGGAGCATACAAATCTACACATCTCCAATGTACATTTCTCAATTCCTGTGTGATCCAAACTTAGGAAAAAAAAAAAGTGATCTTTTAAAAAAATATTAATATGATAGGAAAGGGCAAATAAAAAAAAAAGTCAAGAAACAGTAAAAGTTATTGTGATAACTGTCATACTTGGCTCCATTTTGCTGTATGGTGAGTGAATTTCAGGATTGGGGAGGGAAAAGACTATAGAGAATTTTGCAAAAAAACCCCACTGTTCTTCTAGAATATTTCTGAAAGAGTGATCACCACTGAAGCTATTCTGTAGCTGTGGCAAAGAGGATGTTAAGTGGTCTATGAAAATTATGGAAGTAGTGAGTTAGATCTTTGACAGAAATCTATAGACATACTTAGAGGAACTCTGGCAGTGCCCATTCCTTTAACACTTCTTGAAGTTACTTAACAAGTTCTTGGTGGAAAACATACTGTTTCTAAGGCTCACCAAATGAAAGTTTTGGAAGAATTGGATGCTGTTTAAGGCTCCATTTTGAGATTTATCTGGCCTACCTCTGAAAGAACTGCCTAGGCTGCTTCTATAGTGAGTGATGAGTAAAAAATATTTCTGGAGCAGAAACTGTCTTGTCTTAAAAGTGATCTTCACAAAAGGTCAGCTCATCCACAGCCCAAAAGGAGAACTTCTTCCTATCTAGTAGCCACAGTAGTAGCCAAAGGAACACTTTAGCCAGGGAGTCCCTTTCTCAGTATGAGCAAGAGATCCAAACTGACGTGAAGGTCCACATCTATATGGGAAATCTTTTGTTTTTAATGCAGTGAGTAGACAACAGTATTTACCCAAATTATTCAATCAGTCTGATACCAGAAAAAAAAATACATGTAAGTAGAGTTTATGTCTAATCTAGCTTAACATTCCCTTCTCTTTTTGTAAGGATTTCTTTCTTTACTCTTTCTCTTCAGAATTGAGAAAAAAGAAGCAGCAATTGATAAGGTTTTGTTTGATTTGAAACAAGTGGAAAAAAAGAACAAAGAATACAATGAAAGAGTAAGTGACCATACATCTTTTTCTTATCACATTTTTTTCTCCCGACACATTTCACACATGGTATTTTAACTCACAGCATTCAAGCAGCCATTTGTTTTCTCATTTCCTTGGGATGGACATCTTCAAATTAGAGAAACTTCTGGAACTTGCAGATTCTCCCCTCCCCTCTGTGCTTTTCAAATACGAAGAATAACTTTTTAGCTGAGCGTTCTTGCAGTCCATCCTGCACTGGTACACATCCAACATTTCTTCATTGCTTTACTTTGTAACTTTGAAAACAAATTTGGAAATGTTTCTACATAAGTCTTTCCAACTCTTGTAGAATGACAATCTGAAGGAGGAACAGGAGGCACACATCAGGCGTATACTAAGAAGAATAGAAGAAAAGGAGCAAGAAAAAGATGCAAAGGAGGTTGTAACTAGGGATGATGTGGAAGGATCACTGAAAGACAAATGGCAATATGCTAAGGACAAAGAGCAAATTCTAAAAGGTAAATTATGAGTTGTGGAAGAGTGGTTTGCAGTTTACACAGTTGGAATTACACAGATTTTGCATTTTAAATAGATTCTGTTTCCTCGTTAATAACAGCATTTAACCTTTCCTTTCTAAAATTCAATTGTGAAGAACTTGTAAGAAAATCTGCTCATTACCCTGAATTAAGAATCAATGGGAGTGAGTCTTTTATGGAAACAAACCTAGTATATTAGACTTCTTGTGATGTGTGTTACTGTGCAAGTACAAACACTTCATATTTTCCACTAAATTGAAATTGATGAAAGCCCTTTGCACTGGTTCCACTGGAAGACTGAAAAATTAATATTGATGGCAGCAAGAAGGACTGCTTGTGGTTGCTGAAAGTTGTGGTTGCCATCCCTGTGATTCTCAGTGGGAGTGAAGTCACATGTGTCTTCAGTTACACTTCAGTGAGAACTGTTGTCTCCTTGGCAGAAGAGGATCTGTCTTTTTTCAGCAGTGATGCTGGCCCTTGGCACTTTGAGACCATCATGTTATAAAGAGCTGTAATGTAGAAGAATCTCCCCCCATTCCCCAGTCCCAGTGAATGTGCCTTTATTAAAGAAATCAATGAAGTCAAAAGAATGACAGAATATCAGCTCAAGAAACTGGTGATGAACTTGTCTTCCAATGTTCTTATTTTTATAGACCTGCTCTTCCAAACAGAAGAAACTGACCAACGACTTTCAGTGAGGCAGAGTGAGAGGGATTATTGGTTGGAGTACAAAAATGTAGGAAGTAGAACAGATGCCAACAAGATTAAGAATCTGAAAAAAGACATCAAGGAAGTCAAAGACGACTTTCAGAGGTCTTCAGGTCAGTTTACACCTAGCGTAATGTAAACCTTCTAAATTCTTTGTGTATTACTTGCATGAACTAATTAGATTATGATTGAAATTCAGGACTAGAGGGAGTTGTGTGGGCAGTGGTTTGAGCTGTGCCTCCATTTGCTAGTCTCATGCTGAGGTCCTGCAAAACTGCCAGCAGACATACACAAATCCTGGCAACTGTTTCAATATTGACACAACAGTGCAATTATTTAACAGCTTATATATTCTGGTGCTGAGTGCTTTATAAAGCCATTAGATTTCTTTATTACTGCTCTACTTTAAAATCATTTAAATATTTTGCTGGTGTGTAACCCATGCTACTAACAGGAGAAGGATGTCCTGATTTTCTTCCTTTACGACCCTCTCAGTATGCATGGCCACAGCCAAGCAGCTGCTAGTAACAGGCAGTGACATTCTAACAGTCTGTATATTCTGTGCCAACCATTACCAGGCATCAGCTACTGTGGACAAGAGCCAGCCTGCTATCTTTTTGTCTCTTGAAACATATTTTACCATGATTAAGATCTGCATTATGTTTTCTGCATTGCCAAATAGCTTGTCAGAGATCAAGGTTTGTATTGAAGGAGAGGCTGATATTTTTTATTGTGTGTTTTCCCTCTTCTCAATCAAATGAAAACTTTGCTGTACAACTGCTGATATATGAAATGAAAAAGAGAATAACCTCTTATATAGAATGCCAAAATGAACCCATAGGAACATTCAGTCTGGTCTCCTGCGTATCACAGGATATAGAGCCAAAAACTCCTTACTGAACAGAAGTGTATTTATTGAAGGACTGTGACAGAGATACATATAGCAGTTGCCTAATTAACGTACAGAAAAATGATGCTGTGATGAATGTTAGCATACTGTTTTATTCAGCTTCCTAAAATCAAACATGGCTGGGGAGTACTGTCTCCTAGCCTACAAAAAATACAGCTAGCAAGCATCCAGTGTGATGCTGCAGCAAATTGGGCTTGTTCAATTCTCAAATTTGTAGCAGGCTTGGGGAACAAGCGTAGGTAGAGTGGTTTCTGTCTCTGTAGTTACCTCTGCAGGGACTGACACTGGCATCATTCATGTGGTCTGGAGATGACATTGTAAACAGAATTACTGGAGGGCAGAGGAAGCAAAAGAAAGCCTTACACTTATATGAGGTCTGGAGGAAAAAATGTTACAGTGAGACATAGGGGAAATAGGCTCCACAGAACGAGTATGTCTGAACAATTCCTCCTCTTATTATCCCAAAGTATCTCAGATCGTTCAGATGTCTGAAACAATGAAAAGGTGATTCAATTATAGCATGTAAGTACTTCTAGGTCTTTCTGCCAAGTCCAGATGGTGGATTGATTACAGCAGACCAGCTTCCACAGTGTTAAATTAGGAACTAATGCAAAACTAATGCACCTTTCCTATTTGACTGCTTTTGATTTCACAATGGGTCCATAACCAGACACACACTGAAAGCCAGGTCAGCATTAAGTAGAGTGTCTGCAACACAAGCACAGAGCGAGGCAGAATTTTAAGCTTCTGGAACAAGGGTGAAATGCCTTTCTTCAAACAAATTTGCTGCAATCTCATTAATTCTTCCACAAGCAGAAAAAACTAAGCAGTAGAGTAGAATAGCATAAAAACAACTGAAAGGAAGGACAAAATAATTAAACAGTAAGTGTCTAGAACTTGAAGTCAAACAAATTCAATTAGGTATAAGATGTACTTTCTAAATAAGGAGCACAAGTAATGATGAGAGCAAATAATTGAGGCAATTGCCACATTCCCTTTTCTTTTTTTTTTTTTTTTTTTTTTTTTTTTTGTCAAATTAGAACCCTCTGGAAGACTTAGATAGTTCAGAAGATTTATTAGGTTCTATAGGATGGTAACTGAAAAAAAATGCTGTACTAATCCAGGTGTGTGAGATGACCTAATATGTTTCTATATGTAAAAATTAAGTTTCCTCAGCATGTCTTGTGGATCAATCCAGGAGCTCTGTTATCGAGAGAAATAAAATTTAGCATTAAGATAAAAATATCTTTCTAGAGAATTACTCAGTTTAGGAGCTGCTGAAGTTGCTAACAGAGAAATGCAAGCTACTTCAGCTTTCTAGTTTTGTGCTTAATACTATTCTTTGGGTTTGGAAGGATGTCTTCTATGGACAAGTTATCTGCTCCACAGGATGGGATTCAACACGTGTTGGTGGCTGATAAGTTCCTGTTTAGGAACAACATTGTTGTCAGGTTATGATTTCTGGTTTTCTTTTTTGCTTTGAAGAATATTACAAAAATGCTTTGAAAGCAATGAAAGAAGAGAATGATACTCTGGTTGAGATGAACATGAAGAAAAATAAGGAACAGGCCCCAGAGGTATTCCTTCCTTTTTTTTTTTCCAAAATGTTAACTGTGTTATAGTTCTAATTTATGCACTCTGCATAAATAATTATTTCAATTGGAATTAAGATGTGGAACTGTTCTGACAAATTGAGAGCAAAATAACCTGTTAGTGCTCTTTCTGAATATGGCATTGCTTGTTGTCACACACGTGTAGCATTTTTTACATCAAACAATGAGCAGCTATGAGGGCATTTTACAAGAGCAGGTATGGGAAACCAGGCATGAGGCACAGGTATTACTTGTTCATCAACACATCACTTCTGCTGCCACCTTAATTTTGGTGCTTGCATAGACACCAAAACACATGTAATGTGAGAACCTAGTCCTGTGTGCTTGTGTTGATATACAGCAGCATCTGCCCTCCCTGTTGTTTCTTTCCTCTTACTGACATCAATAATTAAATCGTACCAGTGGCTCATTAGCACAAACCTCTACATGTTTATGTCACTTGTCAGATTAGTACTGTCTCAGCTGTGATTTTACTTGTCTTCTTGTAATAGCCAAATGTTTGACAGCTTGAAAACAGGCAGATTCAAGCAGTAGTGGGAACTGGGCAGAAATTGATAGAGAAAAAAGAAATTCTCCTAATTCAAATATAGAAAACTATAAAATATTAGTAAATTGCTTGTCATGTAAACCACACAGGGCTGGATGATGGAGAAGAAACAGCTGGCCTTGTGGGCTAAATCTGCTTGTAATCCCTCAGGGGATGTTACAGCCTGTTGTGATGATGTTTCTTAATTATTTCCTGCTGAACAGCAGAAGGTTCTTCTTTTTACTGTACAGCACTGTCAAAGTCCTGCCTTCAGAGGAGATGATATTAAATTGTGTTTTCTCAGAACGCTGTAAGATACTTAGACAAAAACAGCTGCAGAGAAATTGAAGAGAATGAGTGGCTAAAGGAAGAGGTAAGAGGATCACTTGTTTTCAGTTTATCAGAGCAGCTCAGGTTTGAAATACAGAGGCGTACAAGGGTAATTGCGTCCAGGGACACAAATACTCTGAGCAGTTTTAGAGGACAGAAAAAAAACACTTTGGAAAAAAGGGCTTCAGGAAGCTCTAAATGGGAGGTAATAAAGAAACCCTGGAGCTTAGGACACTGAGAAGAAAATGCAAATTGCACATAAGCTATAATTTATTACTTGGTACTTTTATACTGTTCTTTCATGGCAGTTTAGAGCTACATATTAGATATATGTAACTTTTATTGTCAAGGAAAATCTTTTTGTAAGCCAAATTCATGAAACTCATTTTTCCGTGGTGAAGGTTTGATTGTGTTTGTTCCAGTCAATGCAGATTCTTCACTGCGGTCAAAACCAAAGCAAGAGATTGGAGGGAGGAAATGCCCTTTCCCATTTTTGCAACTCACAGTTTAGAATGGAGAAAAACTTGTTTGGAAATTAATGAATGAACTTATTCTTTTTCAGTACCAGATCAACAAATCTGGCAGGGGTTCTCCTTTTTACCTACTGGTTTAAGGCACTTGCCAATATGCAAGGATACGACTTTCCTTCTTCGAATTAACGAGCTCTGAGCTCACACCTTTAACTTTCCAAGGAGGGTGTCCAAGCCACAGTCTTTGTGGCAATGAGGTAGTTGTCAGCAGAAGGGAATGAATGTTTTAATCTGTATAAGCAAACGGGAGCTTAAAATTTATATTCCACCACTGAATGAGCATGTACTGCTAGAGAATTCCATTTCCTTTTCTCTATCTCACAAATTTTACACAATATTAGGCAGTGTAGACAGCACAGGTCCACTTTGGAGTGCTCTTCTGTCCTGGCAGGCTCTCTCCTCAATCTTGAGGGCTGTGGGTTTCTTCCCTCTCAAACAGAAGTTTTCTGTGTTATGAATTAGTTTCTTTTGTTCTTGGTTTCCCATAAGTTAGTGCTCTGAATTATTGTGGCAAACAGAATGTTTATTGGTAGCTTTTCCAATCCTTGGAATTCACTCATTCTTTTGCTTTCCCTATACAAATTAAATGTTTTGTTTAAGACTGATGGTTATATGTAGCTGGCAAGCCCTTTCAGTATTTTCTTTTGGGGATTTAAAACAAAAATACCAGTTTTGTCAGTGTTCACAATTTAAAAAGTTTTTTTTTTTTTTCTGAACTGAAAAGAGAGTTACCAACACACACATAGCATAGCTGCCTCTAACATGGAATGAATTTGGAGAACAGAGTCACATTTTTCCATCATTAGTATGTTGCACCAAGCTGACACAAAGCTGTATCACCTTATTGTGCCAAGCCACATCCTGCTACTGCTTAATGTCCTGCCAGTTTCACCTTTTTTAATTGCTAGAAGAAGTGGGAAGTAGCTTTTCACTGCAAATTTGGATGATTACAGCTGGGTGAATTACGCTTAGGTGAAAAAAGAAGTATTCAGGTTACTAAATATTGCTTTTATACATGTGCATGTATGGTTTTAGAGAAGGTATCCACACCCCATTGAACATTTTGCTTCCCAGTGAAGGAGGTAAGAACTTGCTTGTACTTCAGGTAAATTGGGATAAATTGTGGGAACTGAACAACTGGTATTCTGCAGTTAATGTAACTTCATTGCAACATGGGGTGATTACCATCCAAAAGGAAGTAACACCTGGGGTTTAGTCCATGCAGTGGCTAACCTGGACTGAAAGCATCACTAATTCTGGGTGAGAAAGTTTTATGTGTGAATGGGAACTGGGAGAGGAACACTTGCTGAGCAAGGGCCTGAATTTGCCTCTGCAAAGAATGTTTTTCTCTCTCCAAGTTCTGCTGTGAAATTGAAAAAAGAAAAGAAAAGACAAATCCAAAGTTTCTTTCTCCCAGAACAATTTGGCCACATGAGAAGGTTCTGCTAGCAGGGTTGCACTGCCCACACATGTGTCTGCAAATAGAGTTCTGATGTAGAAGAGCCAGAGAGAGAGAGAGACCTTTCCTCTGCCTGAAAATGTGTCAGCACCAAATGCACAGTGCTTTCTTCCTAGGCATATACTACTGAGACAGTCCGTACCCATATTGGAAAGCTTTCCTAGTAACTACCTAAAATTACCTTTTGTTGTTGTTTTTTTTTTTTTTTTTTATTTAATTGTCTAAAGGTTAAACTGTATCGAAAGAAAGTGAGAGATTTGAAAGCCTCTGTTCAGCTCCTGGAAGAAGAAAATATCAGTATAGTGAGAAAACTAATGGATAACAAAATTCAGAACCTGAGAGTACCCAGGTAAAATGATGCCTTCAGACTCAGAATTCATTATCACTTTTTAAAAACAAAGCCTACCTCTATTTGGGCTTTCCAGCAATGAAAGCAATGTAGTTTTTCTAGTTGTGTGGTATCTGAATTTGACTGTGTGTGGGACTTGCATCTTTAAAAGACAACAGTGAACTTGTAACCTTCCAAATTCAGAGAAGAAGCTGAAATATTTGACTATGGCTGGGTCTTTGTAGGTTATTACTTTCTTCTAATGGAGGTACAGTTAGGGCTTGAAATAGTTTCTTTTTGTTGTCATTGTCTCAGATCCAGGTTCTCAGACCAACTGCAAGTGATAGCTTTTTCCTTTATTGCTGGCAAAATGTTAAAGGATTAATATGCAAATATATGCAATCTTGCAGAGTGAAATAGATTGCAGGTAGCACTGGGCAGAAGTAAGGAAGAGGCCTTGGGGTGAGTTTCTCTGTAGATGTGTCTGTAGTATTACATTCCTTTATACTTAAATCATTGAACTTGTTCCCTACGGAGCAATGAATTTACCCTCAAAATGTCCTTGCTAATGGTATGAAAAGCACTGTGTGATAACACGAATGGCCCCTCTTCATTTTCTAGTCCAAGCTCAGGAATTTCAGTCCTACTGCACAAAAAAGTTCAATGTCTTAAGTCAGAAGTGCACATTTTTCTCTCCTCTAAACTCTGAACTGCTTTTAAGAAAGAGCTGCCAGCTGCGGTTCCAGTCTTGGACTGACTGGAGACTTTAACATTTGTTTTCTTTTAGTCTCATGGACATAGTTGAAGTTAAAGCACTAAGAACAAACAATGAGCAGCATTAGCTGCTAAGCTACCTGGCTGCCTCCATTGCATTTTTAAGCCATTGCGCTGTTCTGCATTTGTAGTTGAGCAGCAAACAGCCTTCGGAAAGGGCAATCTCCTCTCACCCCAAGGCACTGCACAAGGGATTTAGAGAGAGAATTCAGACTTCTAATGCTAGTTTCCCTTTTTTTTTTTTCTCTTTTACTTTCATAGGCATTTGTTTCTTACTCAGACAGCTGGCTTGCAAGATGAATCTCTCCAGGATGAAAGTAAAGCAGTAGAGCATAGAAAATACTCAGGTAACACACATGCCAGCAGCTTATAAGAACTGATAAGTCACTGGACATTTAAAAACTTATTTCTTAAGGTTTCTCCAAACTGCCTGTAATTTCCCACTTAAATGAATCCAGCACAGTAATGATAAAATGTAGTTTGGATTAGGAAGAGAAAATGCAATCGGTAACATAGTTCTAAAACTGAAATCAGTGTTTAGATTGTTGAACATCATTACTCATAGAGCTAGCCAGGAGCTTGGCTAATACAAATCAGCCATTTTTTACAAAGATGTGATTCATATCTTAATCAGCTCTTTACTGATCCATATTGTCTTAACTTCATTATCATATCTTGTCCTGGGGAAGACACATTGCTTTCACTTGTACACTTGATGTGTACATGCACCTTGCAGCCATTCAGCTCATAGAGCTAATTTGAAACTGTTCCCCAGCAAGAGCAGATGAAGCTACACAGAGCTCAGCCTGAACTTCAAACCTTGGTAAGATGTACTGGGCTCAAACCTGACTATATACAGGTAGGTGTGGATTAGAAACCTGTTTGCTTTGACAGGCTCAGTGCTGTTACCTGTGCTGTATGTTCACAGTAGTTAGTAGAGGAGCTGGGATCATGTCACTGTCACAGACCGACATGTCATTTGTCATGCTGAGAGTTGGTCAGCTGCAAATGTGAGCTATGAAGGGGAACTGTAAGAAGAATAGCTGTGTTTCAGGAACATATGGAGATACATACAGAAAAATAACTATTTCTGCTGTGTTTCCTATTTTTTAAGTATTCATGGCTATACAGTGAGCTGCATTACATCACACTGTCAAACCACATTAAAGATTGTAGGCAGTGCTGCTACTGACTACTAATTGTGATCTTCATAAAGTTTTAACAACTACACACATTATTTTTCTCTTCAAAAAAGCAAAGACTGATGGAGAGGAAAGCCTCAGGAGAGCTGCAGTCTCCTGTCAGAAAAAGAAGTCATTTCCAAAGATTCAGTGTGAAACAGAGATTGAGAAATCATGGGATCGTGATGAAGAGCTGCAGGAAATGTCATTGACTCCAATTCTTAATAGCTTGTTTGAAGTTGAAAGAGATTTCCAGGTATGAGTTCAAGTATTTGGGTCTTTCACTGACACAGTGTATTTCAGAGTGCAGCACTGGCTTCTGCCACTGCAGGGTTCCTTCTTTCTTCTCTCTGACCCTGGCTCTGCGGTCCTGTTCCTGCATCTGGGCAACTCTGGTGCACATCAGCCTTTTCTATAGCTGATTCACTCACTAACCCAGCAGAAAAGCTTGCCTATTTTTTTTCTCTGCTTGAGTGTTTTCTGTTGGGTTACTCAACCACACTGACTCAGAGGTCTGGAGAAGATCAGAGCCAGAATAAATGTGGTGGAAGCACACAGCTGGACTCAGACCTCTTGCCTCTGGCAGTAATGCACTGTTGGATTAGTTTAATCCTTCCTACAGAACTAAGTATGGGAGAACAGTTTGGTCTGCAGAGAAAGTGTTATTGTTGAAAACCTGCAGGAAAATAGGGCAGCAGGGCTGCAATCTCCTAAGGTTAACTGGCTTGTAGATTCATCCATCAACATTGAAATTACTGAACGCAGCAACCCCAGGACAACGCCTTGACAGTTGATTTTCATAGGAAACATGCTAATTATCTGAAGAACTGTTTCTTTTCTGTGTAATGGCAAAATAATAATATTCTTTCTTCTTAAGGAATACTTAAAATTGGGTCCTCTGGTGTCAAACCCAATGTGTGTGGTTGGAAGAGCAATGCCTATTCATAAAGAGCCAGAAGAAACACCAAGTAAGAGCCCCGCTGAAGGCAACTATATTGGTGAATCTGACAGGCACATCACACCTCAGATGATCAAGGCCTTATCTAAAGAAAAGGTTGGTTAAAAAAAAACAAGCTGGGTTATTAATACAGAAATGTAACATTCTTGGTTCATTAAAGATTTGCTCTGTCCTTCAAGGAATGAGTGGACTTTGTGGATACTATTTTTGAAAGCCTGAATCATCTACATATTGAAGTTTAATGAGAGGCATGTGGAGAGCTGCTTTCCTTAGATACGGAGGAGACTCTTGTGCATGCCCTGGGCTTCTCAATCCAAGCAGCTGCAGGCATAGCTAATAAATGATCTGAGTTACTATTTAGCTTTCGTGGTCCCTACTTGCAGCCTGTCAAATATGGGATGCCACCTTGAGCAGACATTGAATGCAGACTGCCATCAAGTATGGATCTGTAACAAAATACTTTGCTAAATGAGAATCCAGGTTAGCCAAGCACAATTTGAATATTGTTAGAATTCAAATGTTTGAATCATTTTATCTGTCTGCGTCAAAAATTCTAAGTAAGCATCTTGCAATTATTGACAATTAATTTAAACATTTTGAAAAACAGCATAAAATCTTTTTTTTTTTTAATTAGCCAAGTATATTGTGCAAGCCTTCATCTTTGTTGCGTGCCTTGTGTTTGTTAAGTGTATCTTGACACACTGATTCAATGAATTTTTCCCCATTCTGTGTGTCCTAGACATGATGCACTGACTTCCCCCAGGGCAAATAGCACTGCAGTGTCTCACTTCATCCCATGCTTCAGTGCAACCATTTTTCATCCTTTCCTTTACACCAGCAGGTGTCTCCTTGAGCCGAAGGTGCTTGGAACTGACTACCAGCTCCTCAGAAACCTGGCTCTCAAAGCAGCATAGAAACACAGGAGCCTTCATCTCAGACTGAATCTCCCTTGGATTGCAGAGTGAACACTTAGATTTTGGATGTGTCTCTGCTGTAACTGAGTTACTGCAAAGACTGAGGTGACCCCTAATATTCATGTGGCCAGAGAGTGTGGATCCATGCTCGCAAGGTGCTCACGTTTCCAGCCCAACAGAAGGCTCCCCTTGGCTGCATGGCTTTCTTTGATTGAAGTGCAAGCTGTAGGAGACAGCTTACTTGAAAGACAGATTAGTTCTGCTCAGTGGTTAGTCTGGCTTTTCGTTTAGTCACAGAATTAGAATATGGCTTATGTTTAACAGCTTTGCTGTTAAAGAAAGGCCTTGCCTTCTTCCCACTGCTCCCCAAAGGGCATTTACAGTAATGTAAGGCTCACCTCTGTGCTTCTGTCCATAATCCACTGCACTCTGTAAGACAATATCAAGTTGTACCTCAGAAAAAATAACCTTGCATCTTGAAATCACTGCTTAGGATTTAACCATAAATGCCTGAGTGGGTGAGAGGGAGTTAAAAAGAACTCTGAAACATGTTAATTGGGGCATAAGCCACAAGCAGCCTGCACAAGCCAGATGCAAGCGTCTTCAGTGGAGTGTCTCACATTCCCTTGATTTCTATAGGCTTTGCATTTAAAGCCTGTGAGGCTTTTACATGGGGAACAGCTAGGCTTTTAGCAGAAGAGCATTTACAGACCATCTTGAGTGAGATCATACAGCAGGTGCAGGACTGCCAGGGGATGAGGCCCAGCCAGCATGGGTTCATTAAAGGCAGGTCCTACCTGACCACCCTGATCTCCTTCTGGGATCAGTTGACTCAACTGGTAGATGAGGAAAACGCGTCCACATGGTCTACCCAGACTTCAGCAAAGCCTTTGACTCTGTCTCCCACAGTATTCTGCTGGAGAAGGTGGCAACTCCAGGGCTTGGGCTGGTTATGCTCTTCGCTGGGTAAAGAACCAGCTGAAGGGCTGGGCTCTGGTAGTGAATGGAGTTAACAGCCAGCTGGTGATCCCCAGGTGTCAGTACTGAGGCCTGTCCTCTTCAGTAACTTTACTGATGACCTTGATGAGGGAATCGAGTGCACCCTTGTTAAGTTTGCAAATGACACCAAGCTGGGAGGAAATGTTGCTCTGCCTGGGTGTAAGAATGCCTTACAGAGGGATCTGGGCAGGCTGGACAGCTGGGCTGAGGCCAATGGGATGAAGTTCAACAAGACCAAGTCTACATTTTGACCACAACAATCCCAGGCAATGCTACAGGCTTGGGGCAGAGTGGCTAGAAAGCTGTGCTGAGAAATGAACCTGGGAACATTGGTCAACACTTGGTGAACCATGGGCCAACAGAGATCAGTATTCTTGGGCAGCGTGGTCACCTTTAAATTCCCATCAGGCAAAAAGAGTTTTTGTTTTACAGTGGTTCTGCTGCCCAAAACAAGCACAGGACACTCACTGGGCTACAAGATGCAGAAAAGCATCCACGTGCCCCATAAGGGTAACAAAAGCAAAGCCTCTGTTAAGCTGGACTTGGTTTTAACTGGCACACAACTAAGAACACATTGGAGTTTTAACAGGAAAAAGCTTCCAAGTGTTCACTGGAAATTCAAAGTTAAGTCAAAGAAACACAGGCATGGCCCAAGCTGCACATGAGCATGTGGTAAATTAGCTAGAGCTAAGAAGCACCAATCAACTACCTGCCTAAAAAAGCAAAACAGAGTGGTGGTATATGTTGCTCATCTGTATTCATGCTGGGATGAACCCTATCTGAGCAACTTCTCTATAGGGGAAAGCAACTAGATTACACTGCTCTGTAGTCTGGCTATGTAAGCAAGAGCTCTCCCCTGATTTGTTGGGAGGTTTGCAGCCTTTGATGCAGCAAGGTTATGTAACAGTGATCTCTGCAGGTGCAGACCTGCACATATTGAGAAATGAGGACAGAGGACTTGCTCTGCAGCACTCTTCTCATTTGTTTGCTTTCTGGGAGAAAGGGTTTTACACACACTGCTCCTGTGGGCTAAAAGGAGCTTGCCAGAATAAGGCCAAGGCAGAAGCTAATGGACTGAAAAGTTACACTATAATGACAGGCAAGAGAAACTAATGGCATTAGCATCATAAGCCTCTGATGGTTTAGTGCTGAGGGTCCTCAGAAAAAGACTTTCCTTTGGGCTTTGAATCCACAGAATGAGTAAGGATGTTTCTTTGTAACTCGTGTAACTCCTGCTCTGCAGCCTCAGGCACTGCGTGCTGTTCTGGGACAGTGCATGGTGCAGGATACCAGCAAGTGTTCCTATAGCTGACCCACAGAACAGCTCCCCTGAGCTCTGGGAAGCTGGGATTTGGCAGGGTGCTCACCTTTTCTTCACTACTAATGACCACAGGTTAGCAAGCAGCTACAATGTATCCAAATCATGCTTTTTGGCAAAAACAATACTTGAACAGTTGCTGTAGCTGGCATGGGGAAAGTTCAGCACACACTGAATGAAGCAGAGATCTACACCATGAAGATAAACCCGAGAACTCCGTTCTCTTTATACACTGCAACCACAGAACTACAAATATACGCTTGCATTCAACACATTTTCAATGGCATTATCAGCTTCCACAACAACTTTTAAGGAAGTTGTCTGGCTGTTCCAAGGCTTCCTAATCTTTGCTTCAGGAAATTTCATTAACAGAGAAGCAAGAAAAGTAAGAAATGTGTTATCTAAGTCATAGACTGATTTGCTACCTTAAGTCACCTCCCATGGGTGAAATGAATGAAGCATTTCCTCAGGCAGGGAAGGTGGCAGTGACAGTACAGCTCCAGAGCAGCCTGTACAGGGCTCTCCCCTCACTCCTGCTCAAGTCAGGAAATCACATTTTCCCTTCTAACTCCAGTTTTTACACAAGACAACATCAGATGTTTCATCAGGAATTCACAGCATTTCCTTGCAGGGCAAGTTCAGTAGAAGATGTCAGGGCTGTTTCTGTTCTCCCCCCTGCAGCATGCAAAAGCTACAAAGGTCAACTCAGAAGAGTGCCAACAGACGTAGGAGAAAGCTCTTATTTACATATGATCTTATTAACATTGATTCTTCTTCTGCAGTCAGCACATTTCCCCACTACCCATCACATTATCTTGCCAGCCTCCCATCCTATCAGCATTTACCATCTCTCAGTGCTTTTGCACCTCATTCTCATTTTTTCTCTCTCATTTCTGAATCTTTATCTCAATCATGTCGTGGCCTTCAAACTGCAATTCATTTACATCTCTCTAACATTTCTACCAGCTCTCAAGACATGTACTTTTCACCCGACAGGAGATGCAGGGTTTCACCAGGTGCTCCTTGCTGAGGCACTGTTTGGCAGCTAGAGGCCCAAAAGCTGCTTGGATGGAGCACCTGATGTCACAGACAGTCACATACAAGCCAGCTGTAGGCATTTCCTGAGGTACTGTCAGCATTAATTTATTGCATGTGACCAAAAGGGGTGAGAATGCCAAACACTGCAGCAGGCTGTTCAGAGGTGGTGGATGCCCCATGCCTGTCAATGTTCAAGAGGCATGGGGACAATGCCTGCAGTAACTCTGAGTGCTGGTTAGCCCTGAAGTAGGCAGGCATTTGGACTGAAGTCACATTTGTTCCCTCATCACTGAAAATGCACAGTAATTCAGAAGCATGTCTGAGCTATACTTTGAAAGCAAACATTCATCTGGGCCAAGTTAAATGGGAAAATAATCACAGATTTGTCAATCCAGTTTAGTGTTTTTCCTGAAGAGTAAACTGTAAGCAATGTTAGTAGCAAAGCCTCCATCAGGAAGGTGCAACCTGGACAGCATCTGTGCTCACTAACAGCAACTATGAGTCAACAGGAAAGGCTAGCAGGACATCATCCCCACAGCAGAGCCCAAAACCAGCATCATTTCCAACCTCAGGTCCACAGCCCCACACAGGGTCTCCAGAGGGATCAGAGATCCAAGAACTATGAAAGCATAACTACCTCAGTCAACAGACCAAACAGAACAGATTGGAACCACTGTCATCCTCCTCCTGCAATACAGTATGCACATATCAAATACATTTGGTATTTTATTAAGTAAACAATGCAATTATCAGTGCACATTTTCAAGCAGCAAAAGAAAAGCACCTCAGACGTTCATACCGTAACAAAATTCTGTGGAAGCTGCATTTTATTTGAAAATCCACCCATTTTTGCTAACGTACATTTTAATATTTTAAACAAAAATAGAATCTGCAGAGACAATGCAGCAAGTATGCTTAACTCATGTACAGAATTGCTTTCATATCACTGACTATCCTTCTGAAGGCCCCTCTCTACCCAGAAGTTATGATGTATTTACACAAAGCACCGATCAACAGCGCTACTTAAATTCTTCATTAACTAAATTCCAACTCCATGTCTGTCAGGAGGCTGCTTCCCCTTTTTGCTCTGAAAAGGTATGAGATAGAAACATGGCACTCTCCAAACGAAAAGGCTTCCCCCCACCCCAACACGCAACACCTCAATTTTTACAAAGAAGGAAAGTCTTAAAGTGAAAGCAATTCCTCACATTCATTTTGGAAAGGCCTTATAATGTCAAATGTAAAAATAATGACATGCCAAGCACAAAGCAATAAAGTTCCTTCCCAACGCACTAATGCTGAATTAAAAATGTAGTGCTTCTTCTAGTCAGTTAACTGTTCCCTTGCAAAATCCTAGGCACAGAATTGACTATAAGGATTAATGCATTTTACAGCTCCTCCCTAATTCCCATATATGCTGAGAATTCATTAGATTCAGACCTTTAAAATATTTAGTGCTCTGTATGTCAGCTGAAAAGCATTCTGAATCAGATTCATTCTTTGTGGATAAAAATCAGACATACTGTATACATCCATACTCATTTTCATAAGGAGTTTTTTTTTGATACAATATTAATGTTAAATTGATAATCATAAATAAATACAAACAATAATACATAAGGAATGTCTACTGCAAACTGAATATATAATTTTTTAAAAAAGTTAATTTCCATTACTGCTGTGCCTACGTTTGTGAGGACTGAAGAAAAGGTAACTGCAGAATTAAGAGTTAGGATTGGACCCTCCCCTCCCCACAGAGTCTTGCTTTGCGTTACGGTAAAGGACACGTCTCCATTCCACACTGCACTTCCAAACACCAATTGCAATTTCCAGAATACAGGCTTCTCTTTGTACATTATGATTATGGGTATTATTAGAAGCTGAAAGTATCGACCTGTTAGTCACCAGGACAAAACCAGGATCTTAGCCTTGACTCATGGCAAGCCTTGGCTTTGCCTCGGATGCTGATGCTTTCCTATGGAGTTGTCCCAGGTTCCTTCATTGGTCTTCATTTCACTGTGTGGTTCAGTGGAAGAGGAGAGCTTGACAGACTGAAGTTGTTTTTTTTTTTTTTTCCTGGAAGTGGGGGCTTACTGGTGAGCACATCTATTTGGAAACATTCTTTTCTCTTCCATCTAACAGTTACATAAACTGAATCTGGAAAGATTAAAAACCCTCATGTTAACATCCAGCACAACCAGAAGCAGGGTTTCACTATAAATCGTGCTTTCTTGAACCATTTCCATTCTTCAAACGCCCAAGAAGTTTTGAACAGAAATAAGTTCACAAAAACAAAAAAAGCCATCAGGATGGGTTTTTTTCTACCTAAAGCAGCCTGTTAACATCTGCTTCAATTAAGCCATTTTGTCCAACCAAACAACTCCATGCAATACTGCCAACAGCAGCATGGTAACACACAGATCAGTGTGGCTGCACAGGGAGCCCATGGCCACGTTTCAGCTGGATCCAGAGGAAGCACCCAAAGAAAAGCAGAACGCTCCGTATGACAAAGGCCTTCTCTTTGTGTCTTCTAAAATGATCCACATTCTCACTCATCATATTACTCCCACCCACCCCAATAGAAATAGGAGCAGAAGAAAAATTCCATTGAGTAGCTGTACCAGAATGGAACCCCCGCACACACAAGCCAAGCACCTCATTCTGCACAGCTGGGCATCTGGTGAAGTGCACAAGCAGGCTGCTGGGAGCAGGGTGGTGTTTGCTGTTAGCAGTGAATAACAAACACGTTCCTGATAAAATGGAAAACACCAGGTGGAACCAGTTCATTCTCCCTAGCTGCAACACAAAGCCCTGTGTGCCCTGGCTCTTTTGCACTGCAGAGAGGAGCTAGCGAACTATTTCCAAACTGAAGCAAAACACTGCTTGACTTGATCAGGTCTTTAAGCTGTCAAGTGCACCAAGTTTCCAAGTCACTTCCACAGTGCTTCCAATTCAACATGACTGGTTTTTATTAATATCTCTATAAGAACTTTCATCTTCGTTGTACATCACAAAACCAGCACCTCCCCAGAATAATGGACAATACCTAAGTTGTTCTACAAGAAATCCTGGAGAGAGAGCTCTGCAAAGGGGTCCTTTCCTGAGGCTCTGTGAGGACTCTGACTGGAAGGGCTGGATGCTGCAGACAGCTAGTAGGAAAGACGACAGAGACAGGGTAAGAAAAAGAAAAAAGGTCTCAATGACAGAATATGAAAGCTGAACATGTAATGAAAGGACAAGTGGAGGTTGAGGCAAACTTGGCAGAAATCAACTATTAAAACAAGGAGTTTGGTCATATGGAAAACAAAGCCTCTTCTGTGGTTGGTGTAACGCAAAAAGCTGGATGCGCCCCTCCAGAAAGGAAACTTCAAGTGCCATTTACCAAATAAGCCAATTAACTTTCACTTTCACAGCAGCTTTCTTTAAAAGATTCAAAACATTAAGCCTGGCACTGTGGGATAGGCTAGCTCTCTCTGCTTTATTGGTAGAGCTGTGTACTGGTAGGCAGAGAAGGCTGAGGGCCTGGCTGGAGCATGGCAGCTCTCCAGGTATCTTCCTGAAGAAGAAAGAGCTCTCAGCATCTCTTCCCTCAAAATGCAGTGTTCCTAAGAAGATGGACAGCAGCTAATGGATTGTTCTTCATACAAGGGCTGGAAGGAGAACACAGGGTATGTTCTGGTGGCAGAGATAACAGTGTGAGTTTGTCAACTGCCATCCTTTAAGTGAGAACTGGAACCTGAAACCAGTACAAAATTAAATCACAGAGCCGTATTTAAAGCACCACCTACAAATTCAGCCATATATAAGTACACAATTTACAAGCACAGGTATTGGCTTTTCAGCAGCTGCTGCTGGAAGAGGTTAATAACCCCCAACCTGTAAGAATACCTGCTAGAACATCTGCTGTTCTCTCATTACTTTAAGTCTTTTGTCCTTTTTCTTAGTGCTTTCCCAGATATAAACTGGGCTTTAAGTTATGTTTGCCTCCCACCCGCAAAACATGCATGTTTTTGCAGTTACAAAGAGTCAGCCTTCTCCATTCTTGATCCCACCACTTTAGCAGCTGACTCGTAACTGAGCTGCAAACAGCCCATGTGTACTTGCACATGATACCCATTGCAAAACCACTCCATGGAAGGCATATTTCCTTTGGAAACAATGAACATCTACCCACCTACATGTGACAGGGAACACACTTATGGAATGGATTGCAGTTCTGCCCAGAGTGTAAATATTGCTAGTTGATATTTTATGGAAAGCAAATAGGGTGGAGGAGTTCTTTCAGGATTAACAGTATTGGGATTGAAATCTTTGTCCCTCCTGAAGCCTTGCTAGAAGTGAGGCACTTTGGTCCAGTCCCCATAAACACATTATGGAAGAGCCATGAGACAGAATGGGAAGTGCTTAAGAAGCAGTTTCAGGATGCCAGCAGCTCTCCTCTCAAACTCAGTTCTTCCCCTTGGAAAGCTGTAGCTCACATCCCACCACTCTCCAGGATTTGAATCAGACTACTAAGCCAAACAGAGCCATAACTTCAAGGCATGCCCATTGCAACTTGACTTCATGACACATTCTTCATATTGTTTGACCATGAAGAGGACATTACATATTAAAAAATCCTGTTGAATTGGTACTAATTGGAGATTTTTCCAAATCAAGTCCAAAGTAACATCCCAGTTTGAAAGCAGTGTGGAAGATTGGTAGATTTGATGCTTTGTCATTAGCAACATCAGCAAGTAACCAGAAACAGAGACAGAATTTCAGGAAGCCTGTTCACATTAAATACTAGGGGAAAAAAGCTTGACCATGGTACTCCCTGGGTGTCCCAGCCAACATCACACAAATACTTATTGCAATGAGACTCCTTAAAGTATTAAAATGGAAGCCTAAATGCAGTGTAATGCATACGAACCCATGTCTAACTACACTGCATCCATCTCTACTGCTTATAAATATGCTGGAAAACAAGCACATACCATGGCAGCTTTTAAGGAGAGGAGTTCAATGCTAACAATACAGGTCACCATTTTTTTCCAGCTCCAACAGGTCTAGAACTGGATGTAACCATCTTTCCCACTTAGAGCTTGTGTCATTTGAAACACAACATACACTGCTGTATCAGTCCCCACGCCTCACCTCCAGCAGCCATCAACTCTCACTGCTTCCACCAAAGGTAAAGAGTTCCCAGAGTTTCACACCAGAAGTTGCATTCAACGCCTGCAAGTAACGCGGCCTGCACATCTCAAGCAAAATCCTTCCTAAGCATACAGTAAGTGCTGATTCAAAGGAGGTGCTTTCAGTCAAATTAATCCTTGCAGGAACCAAATGTTCTCAGATAAGCACAATAAATATAGTTCTACACACCTCACTTGTGATTAATTTCTCTTTTTCTTGTTATGACAGCCAGCTGAGATTCAACCTAGACCAACCCTGCAATGTCAAATGAAGCAAGAAGGCTCAACACAGCAATTCAGATCTACTTCTTGTTTATAACTGAATTAGGCAGGCACATTTTTTTTTTTTTAAAGGAATATTTCCTCATTGACTTTTTCAAAATTGAGGAAGATTCTTAACTGTATTTATTTGACTTGCTATCAAGTGTCAAGCACATCCTTACCATAAGACAGTAT